ATCCTGCTCTGAAAAAATTACAGCTAATCACTGAGGTTTCTTATATAAGTTATACAACGTACATTAGTGTACTGTTAAGGGTTTTTTACAAATAAAAAAGCAAGAAATTAATGTTGAAAAGCACTATCATTGAGTGGTTGGTAAAGCTCTTACCTGAAAAAGCAAAAAACGTATCCGCGAAACAAGAGATACTAAAACTAAAGTGATGAACTTATTTTGGACTTACCCGTGCAAGCACCTCGCGCCCAGAAGAGAAAAAATACCACAACCTTTTTATATGAATCCATACTCAATGAGACCGCTGAAATGAAATTAAAGACAATACATTTTAGGCATCCGCTCATTCAGGGCATCTCATCTTTACGGCATCGACGATCATTTGCGTTTATACCTTGGTTAGCTTTTCATCTATAAACTTAAAAGTTTGGTTGTCATTTGTGACCAATGATGTGCTGGTTGATTTGATGAAATCTGCAATGAATGGCAACCCGTGTCGAATTTGTTTCTTTAATAATAAGACCAAGGAAATAGATATCAGGGCGACATGCAAGGCGAGTGAAATTCATTCCACTTTGCAAGACAGACACTGAGCAGAAAAATAATCAATAACTAAAATGGCTGTAAAAAGAAATAATGACAAGAAAAACGATTTTTGCGCTATTTTTTTGAAAACGTTTTACAAGACGTGGCGTTCAATATGGATTATTAAGACAACATAATTCATCAGTTATCTTACCTTGTAGCATACGAAGGATGGATAAACTTAAATAGCAAGAAAAGGCCGGGAATAACGAAAGTCCATAGATAACATAATGATACGACGTATCAATGAACTCGATTCTGTCCTAAGCGATGACAGTGTATGAAGCAAAGTTAAACAAGATCATTATTTAAAGCGACAAAACAAGTTTTTTTTTCTAAAAAAAGTACTGACTTTTTTTCAAGGCTTGCTCCATTTGTTCCAAGTTTTCTTATAATTTGCCTCGTTTTCTGTGCACCGTGGGTTTTATCGCACGAAAGAAGACATAGCGCTGGATTAGTGAGTTCAGCGGTTTCTCAGGCGAAGAATTGAGGAAAAAGTAAACCAAGCGAACCAGTTTAGTTTCGGAAGCGTCACGAACACTCGGTTCATAGTGTATTCAAAATGGACCTTCTGCAAAGTAACACAGGTTCGTAATTAACAAACGTCGGATGAATCATTCCCTATTAACACTGGGAAATACTCTTCGGGATTTGATATTTGAACATGCTAATTTTGCACCATAAACTAATCTTTCAAAAAAACCATTTTTTATCTCACAGTTTCAGTCAAAAGAGCAGGTGTTTTATAGCAGATACTCTCTTAAAAGTCATGCCACATGTTCTATATAATGATACTTCAGTGTCGTTTTCCTTTTCTTGAGCGAAAGTCATATTTTTGAAGATTATACTTCGTGGTCCTTAAGAAAATGCCTCTATACTACCGTCAAAACCGACCGTACAACAGACAACGAGAGTTTACTCTTTTCAAAACAGGAAACGCGAATTTCATTCACAATTCCAGCAACGTTAATAAGACTGCCACGATATAAACTTGAATATCAATTTTTGCATTGTTTATCTATTTAAATTACGTGATGAGTGGATATAACACACTATATGCAATACTGATGTCTTATTTCTAAACGTTTTTTGATATCAATGTGGCTGAATCCAAATCAAATTTCAATTCCTATGAACAATACCTTTATTAATTTGTTTTTGCATAAATAAAAGCGAAAATGAATTGTCATAAAAGAAGGCATTTAATAATTTGAAAATGCTAGCTCCTACTAAGGGTTTCACTTGCTGAAGCGCTCCAGGGGAAGTGACACACACGAGGTACATCCCTTTGTGTTAGTTGATGTACGGAAAACTGACTGTATCATTGAATAAGTGTGAATAACGGACCGAAAGGGGTGAAGTATGAACCTCAGTGCAAAGGCAATTCTATACAATATACAGTTATTTTCAGACAGTCGATTAACGGACACTGACCTCCCTGTACCGAACATGCACCAAACTATGGTCCCTTTGAGCTTCCGGTAAGGGGACACCTGTTCTGTCATAGTCGCAATTTGGTACACAACACAATTAGATGTGACTTAGCTTTAATTTATAACTAGAAGGGTGTCGCAATTTTTAATAACTTTGCTTCGTCATCAGTGTTTTCAGCCAATCTCTCGGCAGAAAATATATAATAACTCTGTCTTAATTTGCAATATTACACTATAGCAAGAAATACGATAATATCTTATCTTTTTGTCGGCAGTTATCTTCTCAAGGTGGGCAGCAAACTCATTGAAGTTTTTTTTAGCCCAAGTATTTAATTTAAGTAGGCACGAGTGGGTACACGAGCTCGTAAATAGGGAAACGTATTTTTAATTTATGTTGAACGTGTTTAGGCAGGTACTTGTAATGTCATATATTTCAATAGACACAGGTATCTTAATTTATGCAGAATGGCTAAGCAATGCTGAGATAATAGACACCGTAAGTGGGCAGAGAACAAAAAACTAAAGAATGTTAAGGCAAGTACAAATTTAAAAAGAAAGTTTCTATTTGAATCTTGACTAACAGAAAGCAAGATTAATAATCTTCTAAGCCTTCATGGTAAGAAAATAAATGGGCCATCGTATGACTTCGGTTATCGCGTTTTTAGATACAAACGCTCTCAGCTAGCTTCTTTCTACCTTTGAGTAGATCTATGGCATTTAAGGGTATGCGGGTATGCAGGTATGCACTGAAGGGTATGCGGGTACCTGATGTACTTGGTACATTTGGTGCCTTAGGCCCATGAATGTCCCTACCCTGCAATGCATAGTCCCGGGTCGTCCTTGGGCAAGGTGACCGTCAGCCCCCCCATGTCAGGGTCACGACATTGGTGCCTGGCAGTCAGGTTTTTGTTAAAGCCACAGGCTAAGGAAGACAACCCCCACACAAAACAAGCCCATCGCTAGAAGGTCTGGCGCTCCTCCAGCATTGCTCGCTGGGATTTGTCTCAGTGGGTCTAGCCATTGAAATATTGATTTTGATGAACACTGCAAACTTCCCTACATACTGGCTTGGTCAACGTCCGGGTATACCGCGTCCCCCAGTGGGCATCCAGGCTGTAGGTAATAAGTCAGCCACTGGCAGACCCCTAAAGCGCAATATAGACAATCTGATGTCAACTTTAAACATTCGTTCACTCACTCCAATGAGACGATTAGATAGCTAACCGCTGTGGCAGAGGAGAAAGAAATGTCTGTTGTTTGTCCGCAGGGACATCAGAATTTTCATGATGGTGAGGACGTGCAGTATACTGATGTCGGCAAAGGCTGGATCTTGGCCACTCCCTAGTGTTGAAGGAACTCCGTGAACAGTTGCGTGGGAGGAGTTGGTATGCTACTAAGCCCCTCTGCTTACAATTCCTTAGTGGGCAATATTGTGGTAGTGAATAGGCGGATTAGGGTGGCAAACTTCAGTGGCAAACCTGCTACTACTATTATATGCTACTACAATCCAGCGAACTTCTCGGATGACAGCGATGCTCTAGAATTCTACAACACAGTCTCAGAAGTGATAAAGAAGCTACCAGGACATACCCTTAAGGTCATATGTGGCAATATGAATGCACAAATCAGTCCCCTGTGCTGTTATGGGTTTCGCTTTACAAAAAAGACAAATAAAAACGGGCAGTTTATGTTGGATATGCTTATTACATGTGTGCTTATAATTTGTAACACGCGCTTCCAAAAGAGCAATGAAAAGTTGTGGACGTTCGTAGGTTAGGTTGTAGAAGAGCTTCTTGAGCCGCCACTTTCTCAGTCACTGGTGGTAATTAAAGTGATGGGTATGCGCCACCTGATCAGATAGTTTCACGAGATATTTAGGAATTGGGTAATAACGGCACACCCGAGAGAGATCTCAGCGCAAATAAAATTGTTTCAACAAAACTGTTAGTATAATGTTTTGATATATTTCTAATGGAAGTTGTAATCTAGCAGAAGTCTGGACATGTACACTTTGAATCATGGGATATTCTAAGAGCATGCTGGCTGATCATCATGGCGTTTAGCCTGCGTGCAGACGATGACTAAACTCTGATTAGTACCGTCTGCGAAGCAGCGCAGAGATCTTTGTTCTGGGCCCCCAACGGACTCAACGAATTACCGGAAGTGCGTTTCGAATTCCTCTTCAACCTGATTAGCGATCACGACAAACAAAACAAAGCCTTTTTTAACTGGCCAATCGTGGCGCGTACTCAAATCTGGGTACACAGCTGGAAGTCCAGAACAAGGATTTCGGCGCTGTTTCGCAGACGGAGTTAACCAGAGTTTAATTTCGTATGCGCGCAGGCTACATGGCGTTTGAATAAAGTTTGTTTGTTGAGTTTGATCTCGTATATCAAGTGCCATCTGTCGGGAATCGTTACATTGGCGACGAGGATAATTTCAAATTGGTTAATGATTTAACAAGATAGCAGCAACTGGAACAGAGAAAAAACAGACAAGCGACTCCTCCAAACACCGTCCACTTACTCCAGCGGGACGACTGTGAAACAAATCATAGAAGTCTGTGGCCTACTTTCTTCGAAGTGAAGAGCAAGCCCCGAAAGTGTGAAAAGGAGTTGTTTGCTTATGGCCAAACCAAACCAATCGAGGTTGTTGGAACTTTTGAAAGTGAAATTCATAGTGAAGAGTCTGGAGAAAAGTGTGTGGATGAGTTTACTGTTGTTAAAGGTCGTCAGTGGTAAAGCTCTGCTGGGAAAGGATACAGCTGAGAAGCTGAATTTGTTGAGAGTTGGACCTCCAAACTCGCCACAAGCATAGTCAGTCACAAGTGAAGGAGCTTCTGTAGATCTTGTTAAGAATCTTGTTGATCTGTTTTCTGGAGTGGGTAAATTGAACAGTTTCCAGCTTAAATTGCATGTGAACACAGATGTTAAGCCTGCTGCTGCACAACCTGTCAGAAGATTACCCTTTGGTTCAAGAAACAAGATGAGTTGCTTAAAACCTGAAGCAGACATACGTGTCTGTGTGGATATGAGAAGAGCCAACGAGGCAATCGAAAGAGAAAGGCATTCTATCCCCACGAATGAAGAGGTTCTACATGACTTTAAATTGGTGAACTGTGTTCAGTAAATTAGATTTGAAGTGGGGCTTCCACCAGGTGGGACCTGAAGCTAATCACGTTGTATTACAACCTTCATTACACACCGAGGTCTTTTCCAGTACAAGGATTAATGTTCGGAATTACCTCAGGGCCTGAGAAATATCAGAAGATCGTCAAAGATGTGTTGATTGGTTGTAAAAGAATTGCAAATATTGCTGACGACCTGATCATCCATGGATGGGGAATCATAGAACATGATGAGCATCTGCTGGCTGTTCTGCGCCGTCTCAGAGAACGTGGAATAACTCTAAATGAGAAAACGTGACAGTTAAGACTTCCAAAACTAACATCGTTTGGACGTGACTTGAGCAGTAAAGGAATCGCTCCTAGTGAAGAGAAGGTGTCTGCAGTTCAAAATGCCAGTTCTCGACAGAGTATCGCAGAGATCAGATCTTCCTTAGGCCTTGTACAGTATGGTGCCAAGTTCTTACCAGGTTTTCCCGCTCAGAATGCTGACGAGAAAAGACCAACAGTTTTTGTGGGAAGAAGCCCAGAAGAAATCCTTCCACTAATGGAAAGATCTGCTAAAACGAGCAGAAACACTTGCTTACTTCAAGAATGAATGCGGGACAGTCATTGTTGCTGATGCTGGTCCCACAGGCATAGGAGCTGTCCTCACATAGCTATAAACAAGATGGCCTGTGGAGAGTAATTTCTTATGCATTCTTACTGACGTGGAAAGGAGCTATTCCCTTGCCTTGGTATGGGCTTGTCGCAGACATTCAAGCTGTATGTTTTTGGTCGAGAGTTGGAGACTGACCATAAGCTGAGCTGAGCTGGAGTCTGACCATAAGCCTTTACAGTACATCTACAACGAGTCCTCAACGCTATCTGCAGGAATAGAACTATGGGTCTTTCGCCTACAAGGTTCAAACTTTAAAGTGATCTATAGTCCTAGCAAGACAAACATCACAGATGCTCTCTCAAGATTAAATTATGTGAATCAGGAAGATTACAGTGGCAAGGAAGCCGACCTTGACAAGAAAAGCCAGAAAAGAAAACTACCGCTTTTACCGAACGATGTGTACGAGGGACATTTTCACCACGGCCATAAAATGCAAGAGGGTACGTACGTCTATTCCCTCAAAACTCCTAGGTATACGTACAAAAAGGTTTTGCTGTCTTAAAATAAATAAATAATGATAACCCAGGCCGCTGACTCAAGAAAGGCTTGCTCATTAGTTTCAATATGCTTTCGGGAAAAAAATGACCGCCAAATCGTCAGAAGAACCCTTATTACACCGTTAGTTTCCAATGAAATACTAAATACTGGTCAAACAGAACACTAATATGCGCGGCTTCAAAGATGGCATGTGCGTGTTGTTTCGCAATCGCTCCGTTTCAGGTGTCCATCGACTCCTGCTTAGTCACCAAAATGATGGCTGGATATCCAAACATTTCCTTTAAAAACGTCACTGATGTTTCGTAGAGTACATCATAGAGTGTTATTGATGACAAAAGAAAAGCCCCCTTTTTACTTTAATTTTTATGCTGTTTTGTTATGTCTTTACTTCCGATCTGTTCTTTTTTTTTTCTCTTTACCAAGGAATAGTTGCACAGAACACGTTAATCGCAGGTTGACTTCGTATATTTTCGTATTACGTTAGATTAAAAACAGCGTTAAGTGAGAGAACATTCTAGATAGGATGTAGCACGGTTGCTATTTAAAGATTTTCAGGATGTGATAGGCAAAGTAGTTGAATTGGTTTTGACGCAAAATCAACCTTTAGATCGATTTACTTGCATGAACTGTTTACTTATTTATTGTTATTTTTAATTCCAAAAAAACGACAGCTGTTTCTTGCATCTTTAAATTGGCCATTTTTCTCAAACATTTTCCAAGATGTTTCCTGCAAAAAGCCTTTTATGAATGAACTTTAAACAAAACTACTGCAAGAAAAATTGGAAAGCTAACTTGATAAATTTGTGTATGGTTTTTTGAGGCTCAAGTTTGACCCGCCTTTTTTATCCCGTAGTAAGAAGTACATTAATAGTCTAAGGTTACTTCCGGAGTTCCTCTTTTTCGGTATTTCATATTTTTCATTTGTTTCTCAAGTGGAATAAAAGCTTCTCAGTTACGGAGTTGACATAGAGGATATTTTCCGAGAGTATGAGCTTATCAGTGTAGACTGGTCAGTACAACCCTCTTTAAATAAAGCCGTCCATTTATTTTATAGTTATTATTATTTTGCGAAGCAAATCGAAGGCTTTTCTTTAGGAGGGCTAAAAACAGTACAAAAGAATGGTGAGAGTTCCCAGGCTACCCGAGGGTTTTGAAAACAGAAACACAAAATGTCGAGAAAATTAAAGAACCGTGGTGCGTGATGCTATCAAAGAACGGCAAAGACATGCACCTGACCGTTTGGTTTAGTTCGAAATACGTTAATTTGGCGTCGAGTAGTCTGACACAACACAAGCTGTCTAACGTAAATATAAGTCACTTCTGCATTGAGCAGATCCAAGGGAAAAGGAAAACTGCTTGATTTACGTTGTTAAATTTCTGTCCAAAAATGACATGTCCAATGCAAAAATAAAAAACTTCACAGTCTCAATCTACAGAAATAAAAGGATAATTATAAAGAGCTTTGTAGCGATTCTATGGTTATATTATATGCGCATGCGTTGTTATTCCAGTTAAATGCCTTCTTGAAAAAGCTTTCAAACTAATCATCTCTGAAGTTAATTATTCTGTTGAATATAATACAAAACTAATTTTCCACGTCTTTAAGATTGTTTGTTTAAGGTTTAAGGCGTTAAAAGTTTCGCCGTTCATAAACAAGCTAGCCTCTGTACTTAACATGCAGGTGATATTTTTACTTTACTCCTGGCGCGCCGATCTCAGTTCGCGGTATTCTGCCCTACATTCTGCTGCCTCCAGTTCCAGTGTGAAAAATGAGTTTCATGTTGTTCTACTCTCCTTTTCACCGGGCCTTCTTTTTTAAACGGTGAGGAGGCAGTTGATACATTTAACAGCCATTAAAGAAATACACTTTTTACAATTCTATTTTACGATCTAGTCATACTCTTGAACTCGGTATCACAGGAATTTAACATCCAAAAAACTTAGAACCTGCTTTGCGCATAGCACGTTACCATAACACATTACCAAACTCGAACGCCTGCCAAATCCTATAAATCTATCTCTACATTAATCTATTCTTTCACGTGTCTTTTTTCATGGTAATCGGTTGGACTCGACTTCCCGTAGTTATGCCTCTGAGATCCTTCTTTAGAACATAGTTTTTGTCCAAGCTTCAGTTCATTTCTAGTTGTAATCTCACTTGATCATGTCCCATTTATTTCTGGACCTTTCATATACTGGCGAACATATTTTTGCAGTCAAGCAAATGATATATCATAGCAGTTTCATATAAAGTGCATGTGCAGTTTCAGTCACTTGAAAAAGCAGAAATGCCTCTCTATGTACTCACCATTTCCACTCTGTGACACATTATCAAAACAGACGGCCGAAAACAGAAGAAATGGAATTGAAGTGGGCCAAACTTGCTGGAAACTTTGCAGCGCTATTAATGGTTACTGCTGCCATGACCATCTACGCACACATAGAACTGAAAACTCCTGCGCACTTTGTTCTAATATTAAATTCTGCTTAAGGTTTAATAACAGCTAAGAGTCCTCATCAACAACATCCTCAAAATGAGCGCTCCAGGATACTTGTTAAGTATTTTGTGTATTCCTGCTTTTCAACAAAAAGGAACAAAACATCTAATCGCTAAGGCCAGGATAGAGATAATACAGCAAACTACAGCCAAAAGGAAAAATGACGACGCGTCATCAAAATTTTCATAGTTTTTTCGAATCACAGGGACGTGGGTATCTACACGGTGTAATTTCGTAGATAATAAGATCTGACATCAACAAAAAGAAAAATTTAAGATAAGCCTGCATCACAGGGCGCTTTGAGCCAAGCGAGGCAAAAGCGGCATTTGCGCGAAGCGTTAATCCTCATAACCTACTTACACCTGAGGGGTCCGCTGTTAAAAGACAGGTTCAACAGATAAGAAACACTTGCAAATGTCTTTCTTCAATTTGCCCTATTTTCGTTAACGATGAGTCCCCTTTCCTAACTAAGCTTTATGAAAATAATTACAATAAGAAACTTGATCCCATTCTCTGATAAGCCTGTGATACTGACGGAGTCCGGATAGGGAGTAGGACAAAAGCATTCACTTGATTGACTCAGTTAATAAGGCGAATTGACCATAATGAAAGTATTTCTTAAAAAAAAAAAAACAAAACTATTCGCGCGCTAACGCTTCGCCTGAGCAGATCCATTGCTAAACCTAAACCATTCTTTTCACTCACTCTTTTGGGTTATCTTAAATTAGACCACTCGTGAATGGTTTCACTAAAAGTGCCACAAATTTACAGTTATCACACGGCGGCGAAGCTACGAAAAACGTGGTATTCAGTTTTAATTAAACTTGTAGAGATAAGAGTAATAAAACAGAACGTTAAGGCGCATTGTCGCGTGGTGCTTTTCAACGTAAAGTGTAGTCAAGATCAAATAAGTGACTATTTTTGGTGCACATCTTAAGTGCTTAGTACATTAACTTAGAAAGGAAAAATATAGTACTATAATCACAAATACTAAGGTACATATACTTTGCGGTTTATTTTCATGGGTATGACAACAGCATAGTAGGGGGGTCTTACAAGGAGGAAATTTCTTTTACGTTTATCTAATGCTTTTACATGCCAAGCTCAATTAGTTTATTATTATAATGCCAATGAACGTCAGAATTTCAAAGTTTTCGGCTAAATTTTAAATATTTTGTAAATATGTCAAGATTTGCCAATTGAAAAAGAAAAATACTCGACACTTTTATCCAGCGGGTGCTTTTTAACCATTTTTAACGATTTAAACTAATTGACTTTCTAGAAACAAAATGGCGAGTACCATTTTCACCTTTCAATGGTTTATGTGTTAACACAATTTGAAATTCAGTAAATTTCGATTTAATTGAAACTCATGCTGAGTTTCTTACGTTTATTATGCAAAGAATTATTCTGCTTTATCCAAAATTGAAGGTAGGGGTAATGCCAATTCGCTCAATGGAAAAACTGGAATTGTTACAGGGCTCGAAACAGAAAACTATTGAAAACCATAACATGCTGTTTAGCAAAAATGGCCGAACGCTATCAACAAAATAACAGTTTCTCCCAATTTCAGTGAACTCCAAAGCTGGATAATTATCTTAAAAGAGAATGACCTTTCTGTTTCATGACCACCGCTAATTAAAAACAAAAGTCACATTTTTACAGATTTTTGACATTTACCGTTGTATTTGAGTGGCTACAAATTTACTTTCTACGACTGAGTACATTGGAGAAAAATTCAACCGCAGCGCTGTAGCCTTCGAATGTTGAGTTAGAAAAATTGTTCTACTTAAAATAATCTCCCCTTATCTACACTTGACTGGAGACAAAAATATATTACAATTTGCATCTATCGCTGTATGGCAAACACATTGCAATTCCAAGTATGGTGCATTGTGAGTGATAATCACAACGTATTTTAAAATACTTTACATTTTGTTGCTATTTCTGAGTTGCTTGTGCGCCTGCCAGAAGAATCACTACATGTGAAGTTTTTACGGTCTTTCTGTGGGTGGCGTGAGTGAGTTTATAGCCTCGACCAAGGCAATTGACTGAAACGTGTGTTCAGCTGATACGCACGCGTACAAAATGTTGTCTAACTAGTTACAATGTAAAGTTCACAACTGCTGTAGCTAAGGCAGGGTATTAGTCCACGCTAATAACTCTTCCACTTCGCGATCATGGGGTTCCAAATCTCTCGCGATTGTAGTTGACGGTGAAGGCGCATTGGTAATTGTTCTTGGTGTCGCGGAATCCACACTTGACAGGCCTGCAAAGTAACGTCAGAAAGATCAGGCAAAAAAAAATGAAGGAAAACACATGCAACAACAACAACAACAACAGTAAAGGAGCTGAGCACAGCAGAGACCGCACAATAAATCTCTCCGCAAAACAGGTGCCTTAAGTTAATTGCTGCACTTGTTCAGTCATTGCTCGACTCAATACAAGACCGACTTGATGCAGGATAGAGCGGAGTCACTTAACTTTGAGGCAACATCACCGACTTTTGGTGAAGCATGTTTTAAATGTAAAGATCATCGCAATTAAGCTGAAATACCACTGCTCTAAGCCAATCAAACTGCAGAAATTTCTCATGTAGTAGTATAACAGCGTTAATTTGTAATTTCACTTATGAAATTAAAAAAATTTGCAATGGCAACCTTCCGTACGTCTCCGTGTCAAGATGGCGACGAAGTTTTAAAATGCCGTAAATGAACATGTTAGGGCAAAAAAACAAGCTTCAGAAAACCTCAACACACGAAGGAGCACATCAAGAAGGATTCCAACAGATATTTTGTCGAAAAATTTTGAAAATTCTGAACTTAAGCCAAATTTAAGGTCTAAACATTTGAGAGAGTGGAGTTCTTGTCTCGATCGATACGATCCAGGATAAACATGTCAAAAATTCACGATTGCTAACTTTATACTACTACATGAGAAATTTCTGCAATTTGATTGGCTTAGAGCAGTGGTATTTCAGCTTAATTTGAAATACCTACATGTGAAAATTACAAACCTTTTGCGGGTAGTAGTATAAACAAATAATAGCATGATTTGTATGTGATATTTGGCATAAATACCACTCGTGATATTTCAAAATTGTCTCAAATTTCACTCGCCTAACGGCTCGTGAAATTTCGTATAACAATTTTGAAATATCACTCGTGGTATTTATGCCAAATATCACTACAAATCATGATATTACCTATACAAATCTCGCGCCAAAATTAAGGAGTAATTCGTCACCTATGATATTAGGCAAGTAATTGCCTGCGGTGGTCGTTTGCAAGCCAATCGAACAGAAGCAGTTAATAAAATTATGATCAGAAAATGAGCTAGACTGCAAAACAGTCCGTATTTTTGCGTATTCATGTACGCGCGAGCAGTCAAACAAAAGGTCTGGAACGAGGCTGAAAACAGAGAGCGAGACCTGGGGAGAGACGCTTTTTTTTCTCTCGCCCCACACGCCCGCTCGCGCGCTTCACACACGCAAGACTCTTACGGTACGCTTTACCGATTTCTTTACTGATTTTGAGAAAAAAACCGACTGCTTTGCAGTCTAAAAATGAGCCGGCATTCCGAATAAGGTCCATTCTTGTAGAAAAGCAGCACAATTAATTCTTTTCAGGTAGGTGTCACTCGTCCGTCGCTAGTGATAATATTCTGCATTTTCATCTCAAATTTTGGGTTGATGATTGATAGTTGGAACCTCACTGCAGGAGGCAATGGGTATCCCATTTCTCGACAACTTTGGTTGCAAGTAACTTCAATGCCTGACATTCACTTTTAGTGCCAGGAACTTTTGGGGAATCTGCATGAAATAAATACGTTTTTGCCAGGTAGAGGCAGCCTCCTTTGGAGTAACCCAGAGGTTAGTGGTACATCATTCATACTTGATAAACGAGAGAACGACATTGTACATTACGGAACGCTTTTAAAATAATAAAGCACTTTTTAACCCTAGAAATCCGCAACACTACAGGGTAACATTGTAACAGGAGGTGAGTAGTAATCCCCTCAAAGGCAGCACTCCAACAGAGTCACACGCCGAATAATATGATACCTCTACTAACGGACGGACCATTAACAAAGTTATGGGGGGGGGGGGGGGGGGGGGAGAGGGGAATTTTCGAGCTGCAGGATTTTTTTTTCGTATCAAATTCCTTGTATGATTTTTTAGGCCATAGCATAAATATTTCTTCGGGTTAATAGGCGTGCATGAATTTTTTTTCCGTTTAACTTTCCCTTGCGCGAATATTTTTTTTGGACTTCCCCCCCCCCCCCATCCCAATTGTTTTCTAATGGTCCGTCCCTAAAGAAATATAGCTTACATAATATTAACAATATTTCAATAACGTTCACAAGTACTTACAGTGCCGCTTCAAGGTAAGTTAGCAGTCTGTTGCAAGTCTCGATTCATTACATGATTCTCGATTCCTACGAGAGCTGAGTATCGAGAATCGAGTCAAGAACGAGTTTCCGGAGACAGAGAGGACAAAAGATTCACTCCTTACTGATTTCTTGGCGACTTTACATTGACACCCAGCAACACTAGTGTCGCCCGAGCGGATTTTTTTGTTACAAATGTAAAATTGAAGTTTTTCGAAACGTGTCTTCAAATATCAAGCTTGATTTGTAGAGTGACTGTTTCAGCTCGGTCATCAATTCATACAGGAATCAAGAATCGACTGCAGTATAGTAAGTTACTTTTGAGCGGTACTGTAGAAGATACTAGAGATGCACGACAGTGCATACACCTGTACGCTGACAAGAACGCAAAGACTCTAGCTTCACCTTGCTGTTTCGGAAGATAAATCTGCTTAAATAGCTGAATTTTGGTCGACTTGAGCTCCGCTAGATCCTGCCCTGTTTTTCCACTGTCGAATTTGCCGTACATAATAGCGTTATGTTCACTAAGCTGTTTATGTATTTCTTCCTGAAGCTCTTGTTGTGGTAATCCAAAGTGTGTAGCTTGTAACTTTGAATCAGCTTTCAACACCTCACTCAGCGGATTAAACGCATCAGACACTGGTTTTGTTGTTGCAATTCCACTCCACATGGCATGATAGTCATCAAACGAGACTTGTCCAACTCCAGACACCTTTTTCCTCTCAGTTCTCTCGGGCCGCAGTTCATTAGGTTTGGGGGATATTCGAGTCACATCGATTTCATCCGCCGTGTGGGGTTTTAGGCCAGCTAGACAGGCGTAAAGTACAAACAAAACATAACGGCTGAATTAACAAATAGCCTCATTTTTTAAATTAAGACAGAAGGTACCTGTTGACCGATGTCAAATATAACTTTTTATCAGAGTTTATCAACAACGCCCAGCATTTTGCCTCCACTACCCGACCGAACACACACAAAACACTTAGAGGAACGAATCGATCCGTCCGCAGACAGGCCCATGATACACTTTCATAATAACATTATTTTATTTATAATAACATTTATTTATACCGCGCAAATCAACTATACAGTTTTCAAATGTAGAATTAGCATCGTTATTGTGAATATGAAAACACCACAGTCGGACACGTAAACACGAAAAAAAGCAACTACTGGAAAAACAGGGACCGTGTACCCCCAACCTATGCTATGGCCTCGTAACAATACCCTAGAACCGCGCGAAACTCGAACCCAGTTGCCGTTCCTTGCCGGCAAAATACTAGCATCACCATCCTAGCGTTTTATTTGATCTGTTTAAACTAGCCTCTGAAATTGCGCTAACTGGCACCTGGCACCATTCAGATTCAAGAATATGTGCTAGGAAAGAAATCTATTTGGGGAAAGGGTATAAATATCGCCAGGAGAGAGAAGGGAAAGGGTACCACTCTTTTTCTTCCCTCTCCTCGCGATTTTTTCACCCCTTCCCAAAACAGAGAGCCTGTTCACAGGCTATGCCCAAAGGGCAACTGAATTTTTGTGGAAAATTCAAACTACAGAAGAACTGTAGTCAGTGCTGCTTATCAGAATATTTTGGGGGCTAGTGAAAGACTCTTGGGCTAGTACATACTACAGCCCCAATGGCAAGCTAAAACTGACTTTCTTTGCACCCTGCTGCACTTTTATTTTCTAACAATTCGTCTGCACTTATGTAGTTATATGTACTGTACATCATACAAAAGAGTTCTACATATATTAAAATGTATCTTAAATTAATTATGTATTACCTTCCAACCTCTTACTGGCAAGAACACAGTCCAACACTGTCTGTCTAAATCCACTGGGCGACGAGGCAAAAATACGAGCAGCACTGGCATTTACAGCATTCTCAAGAACGGGGTTTGGAAGAAGCATCTGAAACATAAAGTTAAATTGAAAATGTACAGTGAACTGCATTTAAAAATTTACATTGTTAAGGTGGCTCCGTAATTAATACATGAGCATTTAACTGTGACAAATTTTCCGTCATAACTTTTTGGTTTTTAACGCGATGGCTGCGAAACTTGGCAAAGAACAACAGATATCATTCGGCAATAACACAAAATATTCCGATTTCACTGATGGTAAATATTTCTTGAGAAATTAGTGCTTAAAAGGACCCTACTGTTCAAAGAAAATCGCGTCTAGTAAAAAATTTTGCTGATATTTTTTACTGAAATTTCTAGTATCGGCTTTAATTGATATAATAAATATGCCAGAGGAATTTCAGAAAAATCGTTGGAGCAGAAGTCCGTAACTAAAAGTAGGTCAAAATTCAGCTGTGAAATTGTTTTGGAATTTCAAAAATAAATTACTATCAGGTAGAAGGAGCCACCAGTTTGAATTTTCGGGACAAGTAAATTCAACGCTTGCTAATTCTTAAAACAAAAGCCGATTGCCTATTGTGCTATTCTTTGAAAGGTACTTTTTAGTTTTAGAAGAACTATAAATTGCTCCAAACCTTGCTCTGAAGTAGAATGACTTGTTCGTCGACAGTTTTAAAATATCCCTTGGCAGTTTTGGCTCAAACTCCTGCTGCATACATTTTGATGTATTGCCATGCATTTTCAACGACTTTTACTGCCGTTCGTTGCTTCCAACTCAGGAAAAAAGTATTGAGATTGGACGCTACCTCGTATCAGAGCTCAGAAAGAACTGTCCAGCACCTTTGTTTATGACTACAAAATGAGCACGAGCGGCAGTTCTGCGTGGAATTCGCACCTCACCCAGGGGGGAAGAACGACAATGATGACCATGCTTGTGAACCAAATAACATCACAGTGCAAAATAAAATTATCGCAAAAATACTGCCCGTGAATAAATTTACAACTCTGAAATTTTTGTCACTCCTTCCTTCAATGAATGGGTGTTTTTTTCTTGATTATTATGTTTTGCTCTGCAATACATGTTTATACAGATCGGTTCACAGACATGGGCATCATTGTCACTCGTCCCCCCTGGCTGTGGTGCGAATTCCTCGCAGAGCTGCCGCTCGTGCTCATTTTCTGGTCATAAACAAAGGTGCTGGACAGTTCTATCTGAGCTTCGATACTAGGTAGCTTACAATCCCAATACCTTTTTCCTGAATTGGAAACAACGTAAAGCAGGAAAAGCCGTTGGAGATGCTTTGCAATACATCAAAATGTATGTAGCAGGAGTTTGAACCAAAACTGCCAAGGGATATTTTAAAAATGTCGAGAAACAAGTCATTCGATGTCAGAGCAAAGTTTGGAGCAATTTATAGTGCTTCTAAAACTGAAAAGTACCTTCTAAAGAATAGCACGATAGGCAATCGGCTTCTGTTTTCAGAATTAGCAAACACACTGAAGTTGCTTGTCCCGAAAATTGAAACTGGTGTCTCCTTCTTCCTGATAATAATTTATTTTTGAAATTCCAAAACAATTTCACAGCTGAATTTTGACCTACTTTTAGTTACGGACTTCTGCTCCAACGATTTTTCTGAAATTCCTCTGGCATATTTATTATATCAATTGAAGCCGATACCAGAAATTTCAGTAAAAAATATCAGCAAAATGTTTTACTAGACGCGATTTTCTTTGAACAGTAGGGTCCTTTTAAGCGCTAATTTCTCAAGAAATATTTACCATCAATGAAATCGGAATATTTCGTATTATTGCCGAATGATATCTGTTGGTAATTGCAAAGTTTCGCAGCCATCGCGTTAAAATCGAAAAAGTTATGACGGAAAATTTGTCACAGCTAAATGCTCTTGTGTTAATCACGGAGCCACCTTAAGCTTACATATAACGTAAGATAAACAAGCAACAAGCTTCTACTACTATACACCAATTCTACTACTATACACCAGATCCCTTAGTAAATTAACAATACGATCAAAATGGTGATTTTCAAATAGCTTCATTTTACCCAGTCAGAATGACCAACTCTTTTCATATACTGTAGTTAATAAATGGATGTGATCAACCTACTTTATGATTGTTTGTAGAAGTATAACAATATTATTATCATTACATTGTAAGTCAGAAAGACCTGTTTTAGCCCTAAAAATGGGGCCGTTTCGGTGCTTAAAATACAGTCCTATTTTTGAGTATCATATGGCTCCCTGAGGGAGGGAGCTGATTTGGACCTAAGGGCTGAAATAGGCAGCAGCGTGGGCTGGAATAGGCATTTGATAGGGCTGTTTGGCTTAAACTGTGTTCAGATGGCTCCAGGAGGGCCTGAATCAGACTTTGGCCTGCAAGGCTGAATAGACCATTTTACAGTTGTGGATGGAAGCGAGGCTGAGGGTGACCTTGTTTTGATACAAACCTTCTTGCTTTATTATGTAAATCAAGTTATTCTTATGCTAACTAGTATTTTTCAAGAACAATTTCCATAACAAAGCAAAGAAGGTTTGTATCAAAACAAGGTCACCCTTTGCCTCGCTTCCATCCATAACTGTAAAATGGCCTATTGGCACTATGGGGGCTGAAACAGATCTTTTTAATATTCAGTGCATTGTTTTTCTTTCTGCAACGCAATGAGGTATCCCATGATAGACACAATCACACTGATTTTTCTACTGTGCAGTGCATTATAAAGAGCAAAATAAATATAAACTATTTAACATGTACATATGGATTTCAAAGCAATGGCATTGCTAGGAGATTCATATTTACATACGTAAATAAGTGGAACAATTTACTAGAATCAGATGTATATGTTACAGGTCAAAATTAAATTCAGGTTTAAATTTTTTACCGTGGGTTTGATTCTCAATTTTCTTTGTCTCCTAGCTCTACTTCATTAATAATTAGGGCTAGAGGAGACAACGGAAATTTAGAGTCAAATTAGGTTGAAAATTTTAACCTAATTTAGATTTGATCTGTAACATAATATTTATGATACAAAACAGCTAAAAATACTGTAAGAGTTATACAGTGTACTTGTCCATTTCCTAAAAATATCACAAATCTAACATGCTCCCAAAATACACGCTTTCTGGCTCAAAAATCATTCAATAATTATATCTGAATCCTTATTTGTAATGCAACATTAAGTGACTTTCTTGTGGAAACACAATCAAGACAGACTGACTGACAGACTGACTGACTGACTGACGGACAACTAAAATAGTTTTATATGTATGTTTTGCTATTAAACTAAGCTAAACTTTATTTTCAGCACCAATACAGATTAACATTGATACTAATTTTCTCCCACAACATTGATAAAATTTGTCAGCATTTACATGTAATGCTAGAAATTTATACCCACTTTAGAAAACAAACTGCAGTAACAACATTCATGTCTGCCTACCTGGAGACTGAGTAGCATATAAGGAATTGAGTAACATTCTTTCCAACAACTCAAGTCATCCAAAAAATCTGCACAAACCTGGCCTGTGTCTGGGTCAACTAAAAATTAAAAGACTGATATGAATGATAGAACAGCACTGAAAACTTACAGAATCTCAAGTGTTACTATGGACATTGTTTCAAACAGATAGTTGAGGTGGCAATGTGCTGTAAAAGAGGCACCCATTAGTACAGGCAGCATAATTATTGTGGCAAACTCAAGGGAATAAATAAAAATTGGTCAAAATGCCGTGTTTTGGAAAGAATCAAGATGAACCCGACCAACATTCTATTTCAGTTGTGAGTACTTTTTAAGTTTATCCTAAAGTGTTTTACGTGTAACTATAACAAAACAGAAAACATGTCTCTTCATTTTGGAATTCTTGTATTGTACACTTCTTTTACCGTAAACAATACAAGAATGTACCAGCAAATATATAAATTTGCACAGTTGAAGCACTGCATGAACTTATACACAAAAGCACAAAATAAATGACCCTCACAACATGAATAATTTATTATTATCTTTATGATACTGGATTAAAATAATTATTTTCAGGCACAAAACACTGCTTTGGTTTTTTAACATCAGAGACAAGCACATTAGCTCACCATTTGGATGGAAAGGGATTGTGTGAAAGAATATTTCTGGTGGCTGGCCATTATAATGCTCACTAAACTGAAGATACAACTTGAAAACACCACCTGTCAAACAGATCAGACACAGAGGCATTACATGTACTCTGGAGGGCAGTGGGACACTCTCATACAAATATACTTAAAGTATATTTAAAGCACAAATTTATAAAGTATACTTTCAATTGTCTTTAAAAGTATACTTTAAATATACCGAATTCCTGTAAGAGTGGGTCATAGATACCTGTAGCCTGTGCTGCCCAATATAATAAAATAATAATTACCACTTTATTTAAGTGTCAAAATGCCTAGCTTACACACAGTGTAAACTGATTGTGGGCACCTACCACCCCGGGCAAATTAGTTGGAACATTCAGTCAATTCCCCTCACTTCCCCCTTCACAAAGTTGAAAATCTCTTAAGCTTTCCAAAACTGCGCTTTTCAACAACACTGCATGGGGATGAGGGAACTGAATGTACATGCCCCAAAACTGAAAGTGCTCCAAGTTTTTTTTGACCTGGATAGTAGCTACTTAACTACCCAAAAAAACACACAAGTACACAAACTCAGAAAACCTGCCACCCCATTATTCTAAGAGTTGCACAGGTGACAGTTCTTAGGAGGTTCAAATTGTCCACTTTTCTCACCTGGTTCTTAAAAGAAGCAAGTGTTTCAGAACTCTTAATATGTGCATACTTAGTTTGGATCATATTACAGGACCAATATACAATGTACTTGTACAGTACAAGCCATGGGCATTGCAGCATTACACGCATGTTTCATGCGTGGAAATCTGCCATGTTGCACACAAATTCCACGAGAAAAACAAGTGTGAAACACTCGTGAAAAAATATACACGCAAAGATACACGAGAAAATACGTGCAAATTAGGAAAATTTGTGAGACAAACTTGTGTCCTAAAGGTGGTTGTATTTATCCTGGGAATCAGAAAACTGTTTGAATTTCTCAGGTTATAACTTTGGTTGTTTAAGTTTAAAATATTAGATGTATATACATTGTATTAACTGAAAGGCATATTAATTTATTCTTGACTTTTTACATTACATTATTGTTATCTCCTGCAGCCTTCAGTTTTGCAGTGAGGGAGTTTAGCCCTATCAAGAAGTCCAATATGGTATGGTTTTTAAGGGTCTTGATCCTTAATCAGGGTATCATTAATGCCTTTGTTGGCATTTAGTGCCCGATGTGATGCTTACAAAAGTACACAATTGTATCAGCTATTAAATTCAAGTGCCTACAGTATTAATGCCCAGAGACACAAAAACAATTCATCTGTTCAAACTGAACTATCCCTTTAAAAGTGTGTTAGGAAAGCAAATTTATGAAGGTTTATGTGTTGCCAATAAATTGTTAGTTTTTGCTTTTTTTCCTCAAAGAGAGTGTAATTTTTTGGAAGAGTAAAGGGTATCAACTTTAATTTGTCTCATCCCTAAATAAGGTCAGGGTTTAAGACCCTGGGCAGCAAACAACTATTTGAAATTTATACCACCCCGGGTATGTACTTCACATGACTCTTTCAATCATGCTTTTATTTTTTCTGACTGATGACTGATGAAAATGAAAGCAAACCCAAAACTGTCACACACCACTCACCTTCCCACATTGTGTCCTTTGGACCCTTTATGGTACCTTCCCAAGTAAACATATTGTCCTCATTTAAAGGCCTTGCCTGTATCCCCTGATAATGTCAAAGGAAATAACTGTCGTTCAAAGGACTCCAAACCTACACTGTAATAACTCTAAGAACAGTGCTGATCAAGCAATGGCATAACTGACAATGAAATACCAATAATCAGGGCTTCTGATAGGTCGTGGAAGAAGAAGTCAAATTTCGCGGGATTTTTAGGGACAAATTCGTGGAAAAATCGGCCAATTTCGCGGAAATTTTTTTTCTCAATCTGTGAATGTTTAACAACATTTTCTCAGCAGCTGCTAGTAAGTGCCTTAAGTATGGTACCTGAAAATTCTTTAAAAGCTTTATTACTTTAGTTCTACAACTTAATTTCAAAAGAGCACAATGCTCCACAAAACGAGACAAAGAAGGATAAGAGGGTATCCTTGAAGTAAAGAGTTTTGATTCTGGACAGAAGAACATGTGCTATGAGGTCCATTTACATGGACAAGAGCACAGAGAGCTTATGCATGGAGTCAGAATATTGTATATGGAATGGGGTTGAGGATGATCTGCTTATATATCCCTTACAGTTAGTGTTCTGGATATATACCTTGATGCTTTGCATCTTGGTATATCCATCAATATTCACCTCCACTTCGGGGGATAGTTGCATGCTATCAGAAACTACATATGTATCACTGGTTAACTTCCCTCCCATTCAAAATTTTGCTGTCCGTCAGCCTTGTCACAGACCAAGGATTTATGGCCAGGTTGGCATCTGAGTGTTCTGTGGATGCCCAGTTTTTGAAAAAAAAAAAACTTGACTTTTGAACCACTGGCCTTGGGAGTTGAGGTGGTTTAAGGTCAAGTCGCCCAAAGTTATACTTACACATAATTATAGTTTCCTGGCTAAAACCCATATGGGTTTTTGAAGCCAGGAAACTATTTAAGTATAACTTTAATTGGATGACTTGACCGTAAAACACCTCACCTTTCACGGCCAGTACCCTGCGAGCAGAGTCTCCTTCGCTCTTCCTAGATAAGTCGGGAGACTCTGCTTGCAGGGTAACGGCCAGCGGT